GAGCCACTATAGTGGCTTTCCATAAGATGCCATCGAGGTACTAAGAGCCACTATAGTGGCCTTCCATAAGATGCCATCGAGGTACTAAGGGCCACTATAGTGGCCTTCCATAAGATGCCACCCAGGTACTACAGGCCACTATCGTTTGTAGCGAATAAAGTCAGTGCTTACTGCAGAAAGCTAATTCACCTTATTTTTCTCTCAACAACGGATAAATAGATATGCTTTATTTTTTTCAATTTTGTTTAACTTCATTTGGATTAACCCTTTTGCTACGGGCGGGTTCTCCGCTGCGGTACCCCCGCAACGATCGGCGTCTTGTAGCGTGCAGCGATGTCGCAGCGCGCCGTCCAGCAGAAGTACCGCGGCGGAAAATCCGCCCGTACAGAAAGGGTTAAGGAGGGTAGGTCGGTCGCAATAAATGTAAGAGAAAAGAGAACTTCTAAATTATAGTTTTAAGTTTCATTTATTTTAACATCGTTTTTTAATTTGTTTTGTCACACTAGTTTTGTCGAACTAGTTGTTCAAAATGATGTCCTTGACAACATATTTTACAACCATCGAAATCAGAGCTGTCCCCAAAGTAAATATTTATCAAAATAACTTTAATTTACAAAAGTTGGCCGTCTCGTTCAATCCTTGGTTAAATCATGCCAAGAGAAATCTCAATCCGCAGAAAACGTGAAAATCGAGCAGAACAACAAACACGATAGGTCGAATCATTAAGTGACGTATTCTCAAGCTGTTACCGGTAAAGAAGCACCCGGTGCAGTCGCTGAATGATTCATGGTATCGCGGAGAATTTCCTGAGAGTTCCCTACGATGGAATAAAGCAGACAAACCGTTCCACTGTGTTCCAACGTATACGAAAGTGTGCTCGTTACTCGGAAGAAGTCACCGCGGTGCCATTTGCTCAAGAAGTCAGCCAGCTCCACGTGGCAGCTGTAACAGATGCGTCACGTGGGGTACATCAGAACTAAGTCGCGACGCTTTCCTCCACCCTCTCTCGCAATAAAACGCACGAAACTGAGCGAAAAGGGCTGCCGTTCTAACCAAACTATTGCCGTCGACCAATTGCCTTGGCCTATAACTTTCGAAATGGACACGCAGTGTTACAAATCACCGATCTAATTAGATGAAATTCTAGAAATATTCGTAGTAGATAATAATAGTATCGATTCTAAATATTATTTTAATATCAAGTACTTATTTACTGTAAATTCTTAAAATGTGAACAATATTTGGATGTTGATAAAAATTATTCCGTTGTTAACTGAAGAACATATACTGAACTATTTATGAGAACAGAATAATAATTATCTTGATTGAATTAAAACTCTTTTTTACTGCTACATTGTGCTTCTAACATTGTTCGTACTTTTCATTTGTTTTTGTACACTAGATTCCATTCATATTAATGCCACGCTACAAATTCACCCTTCTCATGACCAAGTCACATTCATTCACATCACGAACCATGAGGACAGTGCCTAGTGAACTTGATCCTAGGGTTATGTCACTCGCAATCGGGAAATGAGGAGTTCCTGAGATCATTTGAAGTAACTTTTCTCTTAACAAAAATATTCTCCATGGCTTTGTTTACAAGTTATTAACGATAAACAGTGACCAATTAGAGGCGAATCAGCTGACTCGGCCGCCTTGCGGCAGCTGAGCTCGCCTCTCGTTGGTCACTTTTTTCCGTTAATATCTCGTAAACAAGACCGCGGATTGCATTTGTGCTAAGGAAAAAGTTACTCCAAATGACCTCGGGGATCTCTCATTTCCTGATTTTGACTAACTTTTGAGACACCCTGCATAATTAAATTGAAGTATTAAGTCAACTTTTTGGTTATTATGGAGTTAGTTATTTTACAATAATATAAAATTTAGCATTTTGAATAAAGATTCAGACAAAGGTCAGGGTTAGATTGGACTCTTAAGAACTACAATTGACCATTTCAGAACTGCTCATTGCGATACTGAAACGTCGAAACGAAAATTAATACTTAACTCTTGCAAGTTGCTTGAAACACATTAACGTACGTGGGTTTCTTCTTACAGTAAGACTTGTATTGGATTGCCTTAATTCTAATTTCATGTTTCCTAATTAGAAAACAGGTAGCAATCCTTATGTCTTTGGTACTACTTCTTTGTCCTTATAGTCCGTGATTCACACCCTCACCCCACTTTTATAGTGATCAACATTTTTTACATACTTCACGTCCCCTACAATGTTCATTGTTAAAATTGTATTTTTCTTTTACTAGTATTTATTTGTGCTATATGCTCGTAATTAAACGTACTATACAGGAAATTCTCTCTAATTGACCTTCAGCTTGTAAACAGCCTCGCGGCTCGTTTTTATAGGTGTCGACAATCGGCGACTATAAAAATGAGCTGCAAGGCTCGAATAATCGTATCTCCTCTTCACAAATAGTACATTTTTGTTTACAAGCTGAGGGGTAATTAAAAAGAATTTATTGTATATAGGAATATACAATAAATAATATAATAATTGTGTAACAGTTAACTAATTGAATACTTTTAAAAAAAACGGTATTGCTGAACGAAAATATTGAAAAAGAATTGCATTGCTCTACCATTATGTGTCAACATTACTTAAACGAGTACATTGTTGTGGCTTGTCAAAAACTTATTGTACGATTAGGTATCACTGCCACCTGCTTCAAAATCTACAGTACTTTGATAATGCAAAAATTGCAGTGCTTTCTTGATGCAAGCATTACAGTAATTACTAGACTGCGGATCTTTATGCAAAATAAATATTGTCTAAGTTATTTGTAAGAAATGTGAAGTTATTTGTCAGAAAATAG